ATTAAAAGAACTGGGGTGGATATAATTGTAAAAGACGATACTACGGTAAAGGAAAACAGAAGGAATATAGTTTATCTAAATTGAAGGAGAATGGAAAGTGTGCAACACAGAAAATAAAAATATTGAGGACAACATATCAAATCAAAAATAAGGCAGGAATGCAGTGTTAGCTATCTAAAAAAATACAATAAAATTAAAGATCAATGTGTTTCTATAATGTATAAAAATATAAATTATAATTCTTCTAGAATTCTTATAAAAAATTAAATCTAAATCAATTATTTTAGGTTTAGGACTCTTGTCAACATACATTTTTTAGACGCTTGATATTAGTAGAATAAATTAGGCATAAGTTTACTAAACAATAAACTGTTGAGTATATTTTCATTTATTATATGTATTATGAGTTCTTTAAAACAATTTAAAGTTTTAGTATAGTATTTGTATTATTAACACGAACTTTGCGGTATTACATTATTAATAGGAAATTTGTAATTAGAGACTTAATTAGCGGTTAAATTATATTATATTATAAACTAAATTATATATATATATATATATATATATATATATACTTTGATTAAAATTTAAAATAAAATATTTTTGTTTTCTTTGTTTCCTAATGGTAAATATCAAATCTAAAAGAAAAGAGCGATGTAACGTATAGAAATATAAGACAGCAGCACGACGGTTGATGCGACGAAGATGCGAGGATTGCAGGCAGTGTTGCCAGTCTAGTACAATTGTACTAGATCTAGTACATTTTCTATGAATCTGGTACACTCGAAACAAAATATAGTACCTTCTTCTTTTTCAGCGTGTTACCATTTGATGCGTGTAAAATATATTGTTGGGATCTTGCTCCTTGTTTTGTTTTCGTTCGCTAAAAACACCTTTTTTTTTTAATGAACCAAATCACATCACAATTCATTTGAAAATCTGGTACATTTTACAGAATCTAGTACATTTTTATCCAATCTGGTACATTTTTTAGACAAATCTGGTACGTAACAAAAATATATTCTGGCAACACCCATTGCGGGGCAGTCAGACTTAGACCACGACGGCGAGAGCGTGTGGGTGAATCAGACAGAGAACGGGCATTTACACTATTTAATATCACCAAAGGACTAAAGCTGGTCCTAGTAGTCCAATTAAATAACGAAAAAAAGCCCCTTCGAGCTTACATTAATTTGTAATTGGATGAAACAAAAAGGACCTTGTGTATTTTGATGTGATCTTTCCGAAAAAAACAAAAAAAAGATGTAGCAGTTTTTCAATTTTTTTAAATTAGGAAAAACCGAGTTTTCCAGAATTTTCCATTGTAAAAATGCTAATTATCTGGGCAAGTATCATTTCGATAGTGAAAATAAATGCACCATTCGAAAGAGGAGGCAAAAATAGTTCGGAAATTCATTGCACAGGTAGTTTTAATGGCGAATTTCTCGCCGCCAGAAGTGCTTTTACCGAAAAGTCGTTTATTCGTTTTTTTGATCAGAACCATGGACATGAAATTTGCGATGAATTTGTGGCGAAATTATAAATGTTAGACATATGTGCCCATGAGAGAAGTATAATTTTTCGGGAATTCGCAGGAAACCAGAGGCGTAGTTTTTTTTTAATTTTTTTCCCATATGATTTTTTCCGGGTTTTCCGAAAACATCTAACAAAAAAAATATATTTGAAAAAACTAACTTCGCCATCGAAAAGGGCACAAAAAAATACATAAATAGGTATACTTTAAAAATGTTAGGAAATTAATTCTAAGCCTGAGTGTAAGTTCCAACTTGCTTGCTTTTTGTTCGCTAATATCTGGTAATTCTATATTTTGCACAAAACTCAAGAAACGTCTTATAACAAGTCAGTAAGATACAATTTAATAAATTTTAAGCCTAATAAGTTTAGATATGTAAGAAATTTAAAACTGGAAAACGCAAAAAAATCAAATTACAGTAATGTAGTGTATACACGAGTTTTTGATCCCGCGGAGCGCGTGTAATGGGACTTTTGTCGGGAGAATTCTACAACTTAGAAGAAACATACACACTTTAACCTTTGTATACACATTTAGAAGACATGAAATTTGGGTTTGTTTAATTTTCAGACAAAAAAACTAAAAATTGTCAATTTTAGGCAACTTTTCTCAAAAACCCTGTTTTTTGGTCGTCACTCAATGAACAGTGGTCAAAAAATTAGATAAAATATATTTGCAGAATTTTCCGAAATGTAATCGTATTCTAGACACAATAGAGTACTCAAAAAGAAGTTTTGAGCCATTGGGTGCATTTTTGGCATTTTTGTGCCACTTCAAACTTTCGAAAAAAAAATTATTTTTTTTTAAGGAACAAAAAATTATTTAATTGTTTGATATCTTAGCCAATTATGGTCCGATGTCGGTGAAATTCACACACACATAAGATTTCACATTTAAGAGTAAGCTTTGAAGTGGCATTAAAAAAATTCAAATAGTTTGGCCGTTATAGGCAAACAATGAAATTAGGACAGCGGTGCATTTTGCCCTTCCGCCATATGCCCAATTTTGGGATTTCTCTTGCACCCTTCTGGGAATCAATAGTCACATCCCTTAAGTTCAAAACGCATTTTTGTTTTTTCAAATATCTTAATTTTTAACAATGTTATAAAGAATTTAGTGTTTGAACATTTAACAAATTCAATTTTTCGACCTTCGTCGCCTCAAAATACTAAACAAATTTCAATCGTCCATACCGCGAGAACGGTGCATCGGATCAAAATTTCTCAAGAGACATAAAAATTAGCATTTTTCCTAAGCTTTCAAATGTCGTAAACTGCGTTTTAAAAATATTGATTAATTTCCGACATGCGCCTGTGCAAAAAATTGACAAAATCCTAAATTTCGGCACTTTCGAAAAACTGCTACAGTTTGTTTTGCCTTTTTTCGAAAAGATCACCTCAAAATACATAGAATCCATTTTGTTTCATCTAATTACAATTTAATGTAAGCTCAAAACACGTAATTTAATTCGATTATAGTATAAAAAAGGTGAACCTAAAATACATAAATTATTCCATATCAACCCACTATGCGGCACCTACATCAACAAAAATAAATAAATACCGATCACATAAAGCAATGTCAATACCTACCTATTTCTCCTTAGACAACGCAAAAAACAAAAAAATATATTTAAACAAAAAAATATATTTAAACAAAGAAACACATATTTACCTGTACGCCACAACAATAACAAGTTTAAAACTCAATCAGGCCGCCTTTCAAACACACCTACTCAAAATCGGCTCATAGTCCAGTAACTGAAGACCTGAAAATATGCAAAGCTGTCATTAAGTCGGTCCAGATTTCCTTTGTGGTTCAATTCTTAGGTCTTGACGGCGAAAACTTTTACCAACTCTGCTTTGTCGGAAAGGGCCCAAAATGGACCCTAAAACTGGTTTCTCACCAATATCTTCCACAATATGCAAATTAGAGAATTTTTGTTTAGATAAAAAAGAAAGAACTTATCATTATCTACAAAAATGGTCCCTATTAATTTTGTTGGGAATTCGACAGGTTTAGAGATAACCGCAATCAAAAGTCCCCTCGTTCAGCCCCTGCTTTATCTCTATAGCAATGCTAATTAGCTTGTAAATGGGTGGACAAATTGTTTCAGAACTCGGTCAAAAATTGATATTTTTCAATGATTCAAAGTTCATTAAAATGGGAAAACCCATAGGTATCGACACATGTGCCTTGAAGCCCGTTATTTCTTGTCAAGAACATTGAAAAAGGGGTCAAAGTTGCGTTTTTCCACTATTTTGAACCACTTTATAGTAATTCATTTATCGTTTTTTTCTTTTAATAGTTTTTTATCCCATTTTTGTTTTAAATGGGATCTTGAGATGTCTCGAATGATCTCAGAAATTTTTTTCCAGTATCTTCCTGGCGTTTTAAAACAAAATTGATTTGTTTATTTACATTTTTCATACGTTTTCGCTTAGAGTGTCTACTTTTCGAATGTATTTTTTTAAAATGGTGTGCATTGAATAACAATATAATGAAATATGAGTTTTTAATTACTGCTTGTTTCAGAGATTTATAGAACTACGAAAACGTATGAAAAATGCAAATAACCAAATCAATTTTGTTTTAAAAGGGGAGGAAGATACTGGAAAAAAATTTCTGAGATCATTCGAGACATCTCAAGATCCCATTTAAAACAAAAATGGGATAAAAAACTATTAAAAGAAAAATATATGAATGAATTACTATAAAGTGGTCCAAAATAGTAGGAAAACGCAACTTTGACCCCTTTTTCAATGTTCTTGACAGGAAATAACGGGCTTCAAGGCACATGGATCGATACCTATGGGTTTTCCCATTGCAATGAACTTTGAATCATCGAAAAATATCAATTTTTGACCGAGTTTTGAAACAATTTGTCCACCCCTTTGCAAGGTAATCAGCATTGCTATAGAGATAAAGCAGGGGCTAAACGAGGGGACTTTTGATTGCGGTTATCTCGAAACCTGTCGATTTCCCGACCAAAATGATAGGGACCATTTTTGTAGATAATGATAAGATCTTTCTTTTTTATTTAAACAAAAATTCTCTAATTTGCATATTGTGGAAGGTATTGGCAGGAAACCAGTTTTAGGGTCCATTTTGGGCCCTTTCCGACGCAGCAGAGTTGGTAAAAGTTTTTGACCTTGGATGCGACCGCCAAGACCTAAGAGTTGAGCCACAACGGAAATCTGGACCGACTTAATGACAGGTTGGTCCCTTCAGTTACTGAACTATCAAGTGCATCAATTACTTAATTGTGACTCTGATCCTTTTTTAGGTGATCTGAGTCATTTGTTCCTTGATTCTAAAATCATGCAATATATTTTAATCAAAAACTTAATGGAATTATTTTCGCCTTCCAACAATCTTGTTTCATTACTTAGTACAGATAACAAAAAGATTATAGATTGATTTATTAATATAGTTATTAAAAAAACAAAATAAACATACCTACACAAAATATAAACTATCTCTGGTCAATAGACCAGTCTGATGCCAACACCCGGCCCCCCAAACAAATTTATTTTATTAACAGAATTTATTAAATACACAAAATAAATGAAACTCTTATTGTATTCCATTGCTTCTAAATTTGGTCACATATTGCTGATATGCCAAATGCCTGTAATGTGAATAAACAGGCTTTCCAGCTTCCAAAACAAGTTTATAAAATGCTCCTTCACTTTCCAGCAGAGAAAATGGATGATCGTAGTCCACTATTTGTCCCTTTTCCATTACCAAGACCCTATCGCATTCCATAACAGCTGTATTTAAATTGCTGGTGACGTAGATGACCGTACAATCAGAAAAGTGTTTTTTTACCAATTTATGAAACAGTTGCTCTGTTCTAAAAATAGTATAAATATATATAAAAAAACTGTTTAAATATGAGTAATAAATAAAAGTAAATAAATAAAAACCGTTGAATTTTTTTTTGTTACGCATGAGGATGCAATATGTGCATTAGGGGCTTACATTGTATGATTCGATAGTAGACGAAATCTTAAGATAAGTTTTGTAAAAAGGACCCAAAATAATTATAAGACATTACAAACAATTATTAAACCGCCTAAGAGGCAGTAAGTAGCACAGAGTCTCAAAAGAAGTATTAAGGGACCTCAAAGAAAGTACGAAGGAGTCAAACGAAATAATAAGGGGCTCTCATGAAAAAGGGAAGAAGCAAGATGCCTTAAAACTATTGTGAATATAAAGTCTATTCCAATCCGAGATTCAGTAAATGTACACAAAAGCACGCGAATGTAATTTTTGACCAGGGCCGCAATGAGGACAACATTTTATTGCAATGTAGTTTTAATGTATTTAAATTAAGAATTTTAGAGATAATACCAACGAAAATTGGAAAAAAATATATTAAAAATATACAAGGTGACACTTAAAGTGGTATTTATAAAGCCATAATAAATATTTAAAAAAAGTTAGAACAGGTTGGAATAGCATTTTCAATTGTCGACGTGAAAAAAAAACAAATATTTATATTGAGTGAAGATTATTGTATTTACTGTTACCATTCTAGTTCGTCAGAAGACGTGTCACTCTCATTCACATTTATTACAAATTATTCAATTTGTTGTTCTATAATATTGTCTAATTTCCACATTTTTTGCTCCTCTTTTTTCTGCACATGATCAATGCATTTCTTCCACTTTTCTGACGTGATGGTACAAGATGTTTTTTATGTCAGCAAATTTAAATGTACTATTATGCTCAGCAACAAATTTTTTTGTCAGCTTAAATTAGCTCAATGGGATTAAGCTCGCAGTGATATAGTGGTAGCCTTAAAACAATTTTATTTTGATCTTTAGCCATTTCATTAATGATATATTTATCATATTTTTTTCTGTTCTCCTTAACTATTGCTAAAAGTTGCACTTTAAGTAATGTTTCATCAAATTGTATACTTTTAGAACGCAGCCAGTCTTGAATATCAGATTTTCTTAATGCAGTAGTTGGAATTTTTTCCAGTTTCCTAGAATGATACCGGGCATTGTCTAATACAACAATACTGTTACGTAGCACCCTGTAGCGTGCTGCGGTCATCATAAGTAAAGGTACGAGTAAATGAAGAAGATAGTCTTGAAATGTCATTCCTTGTCAAAGAAAAGTCCTGTAGGATTTTATTTTTTGTAAATACTCTCTTCTCCATAGCACTATTTCGTCCCTGTCTATAAGCAAGCTATTCCTTCCTCGTTTTTGATATTTCAAATTTAATATTTTCAATAATCTATACAATGTAGTTCGGTTAAAACTTGGCAGGTCCAAAGCGTCATTGATGTCTTTAAGTACCTTATCAATAAGAGGGAGTTCGTTTTTTAAAAAATATTCATGCACTATTCTTCTGATTGCATTTCTATCAAAGTCATCCACCAAATATACAATTTTTTTACGATTTTGGTTGGTTTTTGGCGCCGAAAATGTATGGTTAGTGGTATATTCTTTGATAATTTTGTAGACGCTGCGACCACACACTCCTGTTTTACTTGCCACTTTGTTTACAATTTCATCTTTAAATAATGTTGGATTTTCTTGAGTCTCATGCTTGTAAACGTTTAAAATCATTTTTTTGCTTTTCATGTCGAAATGAGACTTTTACGACAAATACATTTCTGTAGACTCATCAGCTGTATCTGTGCTAGACATGTTCAAGTGTCCTGGATATTTTATTTAATATACCAAACAAGTATTTAAACAATACACAAAAAGTTTCAAGATATGCCCAAGGAGCAAACACACTGTTATTTAATATACTTCGAAAGTATTTAAATAAAACACAATAATCAAACTACAAGGTAACGGTATTTAAAAAGATTCAATTCAAACAACGCATTTAACGACGATGCACTTCGCACTGAATCTGAGAACGTATCTGCATCAAAACAGTAAAGAGCAGCTCCAGCAGTTTATGGCCGTTTGACCAATAGCATTGCAGATTACTGCAAGCCACGAAGCGATCACGTGCTGATCATTGTTTACATGCGCTGAATCTCGGATTGGAATAGACTTTAGGCTAATAACTTCCTTCCTACTAGCAGGAGTTAACTGTAATGGGGTGGTAATGGGGATCAATGTCACGTTATATAAAATAGAGTTGTCGATATAGGTTTGATTTATAAGGATCGCAATATTTATTTTACAACTTATTTCATGGCATTGAATTTCCTTATTTCTAAAACGTAAAGGAAAGCAACATGCCAAAAAGAAATCTACGGTCCAAAACTTGTGTTAAAGAAGTGGAGTAATCTGCTAGTTGCAGATTTACTTCTTTAGAATATCTGCAGTATCTTGTACACATAATAGTATTACTTTGTTAGAAAAAAAATCTAGTGATGAGAGACAATAATACACAAAGTAATTCAACAGAATCTTCTGAAATATCCACCATCATTTCCAACGCTAGTAAAGAAAATTTAGAAATAAGGCCACTAGATCCAGATCTGAAATCCATCTTTCAAGCGCAGTTCCCAATTCTAAAAAATTGGAGAATCTTTAATATTTTCTCACTTTAATATTGGAGGCGAAAATATGAAAATTACGTGTTAATACAGAATGTGGAATTTATTCCTGAAAAACAATTAGTGGCGCTTCTTAAATCCATTTTCAGTCAGGATATTTCTAATGTTGTTAGATTGCTACTTAAAATTTATTATCAAGATAACCTAACAGCAATGGATTTACTCAATAAACTTGAAGGGTATTTTAAGAAAAAAAGAGAACAAACGTCTAAAAAGAAGCCAATTTATGTCCAGAAAACAGGAACAAGGGGAGCCTTTCTCATCGTTTTATAAGAAAAAAAGATAAACTTATTTAGTTAACAGTCCCCACTGTTACAACAAATGTTTAGCAGATGTTTAGCAGACCACCTCATACAATCCGTATTTGATGGTTCTATTCGAAAAAAATGTGGAAAATTATCAGATACTGCAGGCGTAGAAGAAGTGGTTAAATTATGTAAAACTGAAGAAGCTGTTATTACTGAATAAAACATGTCTATAAGTAGTGTTTAAAATATACAAATTAAAAATCAGGCTAATAAATATAACAAAAAAAAATGTCCTAGATGTAATAATCCGTATATCAAAAATTTACAATGTCCTGTTAAAATATCAATTAGAAAGAAATGCGAAAGAAAAGGCCATTTTACTAGTTTCTGTTTATCAAAAGATATTAAGACAGTAGAATACACGTTAGAAGATACAGAAATTCTTAAGATTGGATGCCTTTGAATTAATTCATTGTCATATAATGATTGTCGTCAGAAATGGCAAATATGAATCAAAATTACTTCACTTTCCAGTGACGTGAATTTTAAATACAAGGCAACACCGGATACAGATGCAGAAGTTTGTGTTACTGGTGAAGAGTTTTTGAAAAAATTAAAGTACAGTACAGACGTTCCAATATAAGTCTGAAATTTGCGGACATATCCAAATTAAACATGATTGGATATCTGATTTAAAATATAAAGAACTTTATTAAAAGCGTTTAAGTTTTAATATACATCTGTACCGGAGTGAGAAAGTTTCTAATAGAACTCAAAACTCTTATAAACTTAGGTATTATTCATCCAGATTCAGATTTTACAGCATCACTTCCACTTCTAAATGCAGAAATAAATAATTGTAAAATTGCAATGTTACAAAACCTGATGAAGAATATAATGATGTAAAAACATTTCTCTTAATGTGCGATGTGTTCAACTCAGATAACACCCTAAAGCCAATAAAAGGCAATTCTATGCACATATATTTAAAATAAAATGTGTCTGCATACGCCATAACCTTCCCAAGGGGAATACCATTTGATTGAAGAGATCAAGCAAAAAAAGGGGTTAGATTCGCTGGTGGAAAAGGGAGTAATTAAACCTGCTTCAGACATTACGTCCGATTTTGTCAAATCAGAGTGTGTGTGGATTTTACAAAGTTAAATTGTTTTATTAAAAGACCTATTCATCCATTTAAATACCCTTGGAAAGCCGTTTCCAATATAAACCGGTACTCAAAATATTTTTCTGCAATGGACATGACAAATAGATACTGGCAAATAATAATGTTGGAGGAAGAGAGTCAAAAACTTACTACATTTTTAACTCTTTGGGGTCGGTACATATTTCTATGGGCACCTATGGGGTTAGTAAGCTCAGGAGATGAGTTTTGTAGGTAAGGTGGCGAAGCATTGATAGATATAAACAATATAGAAAAAAAGGTCGATGATATTTGTAACTTGTTTAACAGAACTGCGCTTGTTCATGGGCATGGTAAATCAATTAGGAGGGTTTTCTTCAGAATTCAGTACTACCGCTGCACCTTTAAGAGACCTAAAATCAGTTTTTATGGTCTGCAAGGCCCGATGAAGGATTAATCAATGTTCGAAAGGTTTAAGTCAAACCACTATATTAGCACATTTTGATCCATCCCTTGAGATAGCTCTACATACCAACTCCTCACGTCTGAATGGCCTAGAGTGCGCTCTTTTTCAAAAACATGGTGACATTTGGAGACTTGTACAGTGTGGTTCTCGTTTTCTCTCTGACACAGAAACCAGATATGCAATGGTAGAAATTGAACTACTGGCTATAGTATGGTCAATAAACACGTGTAAATTGAACCTACTTGGTTTAAATGATTTTTAAAATTGTGACAGACTGTAAACCGTTGTTACCACTTCTGAATTCCTACACTCTAGATATGATAGAGAATCCAAGACTACAGGGATTAAAAAATAATTATCTAGATACAACTTCGTAACTGAATGGGCAAAAGGATCTCAACATAGTATACCAGATGCGCTATCAAGATTACCAATAAATGTTCCCCTTGAGGAAGAACTAATCGGTAAAGACTCTATGACTCAAGTTAACTAATCACCCAGCAAATTGCTTTAGTAGATAATACTGATGAGCAAACAAGGGAATTACATATTCTAGACCCTCTACTAGAAGTTTTACAAAAATCTGCTAAAGAGGACAAAGTCTAGCAGAAGTTATATGAAAAGATTTTCTAGATTGTAAAGAAAGGTTAGAAAACTCGCTTAAACCCTACTGGAGCGTATTAACGAGCTAAGTATCGATAATGGTTTGTTTTTAAAGGGATGTCAAATCTTAATACCTGGATATTGCAGGAAAATGGTACTGAACCGATTACATGACTCCCATCAAGGTATTGAAAGAACAAAACTGCGTGCTCGAGAAACAGTTTTCTGGCCTACCATGGAGGACAAAAATGTATGGTTTACGTAGACAGATTATCCGGATGACCAATAAGTAGAAACTGTGACCCCAATATTTTGGCTATAATTAACGATTTAGGGAAAAAAATTTTACGTTTTCGTTCAGACAGCGGACCGTTATTCAGTTTAAGTGGTCTTTTTAAGAAAAATGGAGTATAGAACATTGCAGCTCCAGTCCGTACTACCCTCAAGGCAATGGTCATGCAGAGGCTGGTGTAAAAGCCATGAAAACATAAATAAAAAAATGTACGATTGGTGGAAAAGTAAATAATGACAAATTTTTTCCGGTCTACTGGAAAGGAGAAACACCACAAAAATTGACGGAAGATCCCCAGTAAGTTCGATATTTCCTGCACATTAAAAATCCTTTGAAAAGAAATAGCAAATTGCCGCATATGATTGTGATACACGAGCAACACACCACAACAATAAATCGATTATTAGATATAACAGAGATGCAAAAGATTTACTGCCACTCCAAATTGGATTTATAGTTCGAATTCAAGATCCAAAAACAAAGTTGTGGGACAAAATTGAAGAAGTATTGGAAAGAAGAAGTAACAGAAGTAACCTAATAAAATGTGCAAGTGGTCAGATTTACGTGAAAAACAGAAGACATGTCAAAAGATTTAATTAAGAAGATTCAACTCCCATGCCATCCTGTCTCTGTTTTGTGGGGGAGGTGTGTGAAGATAGCCTAATAAGCTTACTTTATTGGCAGGAGTTATATGTGATGGGGATCGATGTCATATTATATAAAATAGAGTTGTCAATATACGTTTGATTTATAAGGATTGCAATAATATTATGGCGTCAAAAGCAGTAAACTTCCTTAAAAATAGTGAGTCTCACAAAAAATACTAAGGGACTTTCGAAATATTAAATCATGGAACAATTTTATTACTAATTTGGTATATATTAAGATAGGTTCACTTACTCATCGTCTACATCTGTCGTTGCTTCATCAAAAATAATGATTTTATTCTTTCTTAAAATAGCTCTAGCTAAGCATAGAAGTAATATTTGACCATTGCTAAATTTTGTATTGCTAGGATCAACTGCTTCACAAAGTGAATTGATACATTGTTTTAGATTGATCTAAAAATATGAAAAAGTAAGAAATATTTAGTTTAAAAAAAAAAGAGTATAGAGAAGAAGAAAGCAAAAACAAAAAAACCATAAAAAATGAATAACAGAAAATAAAATATATTGAGAAAAAAATGACATAAAACATTAAAAAAGTGAAAGAGTCTTACATTTATAAAAATGTACTTACCTCTTCTAAAACATCCCACAATTCTGATTCTAAAAACTCTCCAAGTGGATCTAAATTGTAAGCAATACATTCAGAAAAAAGCTTAGGTTGTTGGATAACCGACATATTCTTTCTTAAATATTCTAAAACTACCAGTTTTGTATCGAATTTATCTATCAATATTGTGCCATCAAAATCGTGTAAATGAAAAATGGCTGATACCAATGAGGATTTTCCTGATCCTGGTCTTCCGACTATTCCAACCTAAAATGATAAAATTATTAAATATATCCCTAATAGAGCATGAGGTGTGTACACATTGGGTGATAAGAAATGAAAAGATTTCTATTTAAAGTGTGTATGCAGGGAAATCTAATAATGAATTTCATTTGTATTTATCAATCGAGCGCTTGTGGTGGTCAATATATCATCGTTAAAACATATAAAACAACATCAATAAACTAGACAAGCAATGATAGGTTTAAATGGGCAAAAGCAGCACCAGCTACATCGCGTACCCGTAAGCACAATCTAGTCACACACTTACCTGGACTAAAAGGTAATGCAGCAATAAATAAGCCTAGGTCATCTTATGAAGCGTTGTCTTTACTGTTTAATGATGATATTATTGAAATCATATTGGAACATACCAATGCTAAGATCACTAATTTGATTGCCAATTATTATGGTAATACCGCTACTTTTGTTTACCACATCGACAAAATTGAACTTAAAGCATTTCTTGATCTTTTTCTGTTATCAGGAGTGTTCAAGTCAGGTCATGAGGATGCTGCGGCGCTTTTTGTAGCAGATGGGACGGGAAGGGATTTATTCCGCGCCACAATGAGTTTTATAAGATTTCTCTTTTTATTACTAGCAATTCGTTTTGATGACGAAAATACTAGGGAACATCGTATAAACAACGGCGATAAGTTGGCTGCAATCTCCGAGTTTCTCAATATCTTTATAAATAATTGTAGAAACAATTACACATGTAATGAACATGCTACAGTAGATGAGTTGCTAGTTGACTTTTGTGGCAGAAGTTCTTTTAGACAATATATTAAGAGTGAACCTCAAAAATGCAGCATCCAAAATTATGTGCCCCTGTGATGCAATAACCATAACTTGATAAATGCTTTCGTTTACGTGGCAAAAAAACCTCTTCGCCAAAATCCAGAAAAGTTATATGTATCTACATGTTGCGTTATTCGATTGGCTGAACCCATATTGAAAACAAATCGAAATATTACAGGATACAACTGGTTCTCGTCTATCGAACTAGTTAATAAATTGCTCGAAAATGGTTTGTCTTACGTTGACATGGTTAGAAAAAATAGGCATGAGATTCCAGAAGAGTTTTTGCCGAATAAAAGAAAGAATAAAGGAAAGAGGGATCATCAGAGACAAAAGACAAAACTTTATTGTCATTCACCTATAGAACTATTGGCGATAGCGGCAAACCTAAACTAAATCAACTAAATCAGGAGTGGGCTCTTGTGATCAAAAATGCTCTACTTATTCTTGTTAGCGTAGAACTCGTATATGGCCTCTTACAGTGTTCTATGCAATGATCGACATCTCAAAGTAAATGCCTGTTTTGTTGAAAAGTGGTAATGATCAAAAAATATCTCGAAGAAGTTTTATAATATTACTAGGCAGAAAACTTATAAAGCAGCATTTAGGGAGAAGAAAAATGATAACACTTTTTAAGAAACTAAAAACATCAATTCAGAAGGTTATTGGTGAAAATTATAGGGAAAACACTTCTTCAAGGAATACAGATATGGCAGGACCTGCACCAAAACAGAGGAGGTGTAGCTTTGTCCCAGGGCAAGGGATGAAAAAGTAAAGACTTGTTGTTAAGAATGCCATATAGCAATTTGTAGGAACCATTCGGTTACCAAATGTGTTTGCCAGGAGTGTTATGAAAGGTAAGTTAGTGTGAAACCAATAAAAAACAAAAAAAAATCTTGCTTGTCACCGTTACATTAATGCATGTTTTTTTTGTTAAAGAAAATAAAAAAGGGCCTTAAAAACGGGGATCTCAAACAAGAAAGTCGTTCGAAAGTTCTACAACAATTTTTTTAATGTTTTTTTATAATGTAATTTTTTGGCATTAGAATGTAGGAGAGTTCCTTTGAATTGGACTTTTTTTTGTTTTGCTATAACTTTTTTTCCTCTTAATATTTAATTAAACATTTTACACTTAATCATTGATCAACAATTAAGGAAAACTTCTGGATACTCAAAGTTAAAAACTCATACAAATTTGTTCGGAATGGCTTTATTTATTTTTTTGTTAGTTGTCCGATTCATCGACAGGTTTCCATGAAATGGACGGTTGTATCCATGAATTGGACATATAAGAGATATATATTATTTTTACATGCAATAAGGTCAGAATAAAGCAAAAAATATGTTTTATTTATTTATTCATTAAAATTTACAAACACCTCATGAGAAGATGATCTTAAATTAGTTAAAATGCTAACTTGGTAACTAGGTAACTTAATAACAATTTTTACAAAAAAAGTGTAAATTTCCCATAAACCCGCAAGAGTGGTGTGCCCATTTTGTACAAACTCGACATTGAAGCCATTCCTATTTGCTAATATTGTATTCTTCGTTGCAAATTGGACAAACGGAATTTTCTGTCTCACATTCTTCTTCGGATGAATCTATTTTATCGTTTTCTATAATTTCTTCATAAAATTTGTTCAAATTTGTTGGTGATGGCGATTCGTCGTGCAATGATATTTCAGTGTTCGTGTCGGAATCACTTTCGGTAACTTTTGATGATTTTATAACTTTTGTTTTAGTTTTCTTTGAACTTTTTTAAATTACTTTTCTAGACATTTTACCTTTATTCTGTTTTTTGTCTTTTTTTCGTGAGCTTTTTCCTTTCCTCTGATTATTCTGAACTAATTTTCGAGCCATAGCCTTAAGATAAGGTCTAATAATTTCGGGTGAAATTAAATTCAACTCTGCCCTTCCTTGCATTGTAATAGATTTGCCAGGAGTGTAAACATTTCTAGAACAGCTACAAGAACCACCAGAGCTAGTGAAAGGGGTAGGGTTTAAACAAAAGTTTGTAGAATTACCCATATTTGCGGAGCAGTTTGAAAGTACGTTGTCACTTTCGAAGCTACTAGAAGGAGTTGCATCGGAATTTAAATGTAGTCCATCAGATTCATTAATTTTATTTATGTTGTTCTCTTGATTTTGGTTTTCTGATTCACTTGGTTTTGGTCTGTCTGTTACAGTGGAGGGCAAACAGTCGTCGTCAGTAAATATTGAGGAATTGAATGGATATATTCCTCCCTAAAATAAATCCTAGGGAACACAATTACACTCGGAAAACTTCTACCGGCAGCATTTATAAAAAACAGAGTGGTAACAAGTGTTCCTCTCTCAGCGGATGCAATTTGGCCTACTTGTTTAGAACCTCTTACTGCTACAACTTTGGGTGACTTGGTTACTGTCATACATCCAGTCTCATCCAAATTCCAGATCATATTTGGAGCAAATTTATGTTTAAGATACAAACTTTCTAATTTGGAAAAAAACATTGCTAAGTTAGTTTTGTTGAAACTAGATGCTCTACTTAGTTACGTGTTTTCGGGCTGACGCATGACGGAGCGATAATTCCCTATTTCTTTTCATGAACCCATGAAGCTAATGAATACCAGTCTTGGCTGATTTGTTCCATTCAGGTGGGGTAGAGATATTATTTGCTCTCTGGTTTGTGTAGTGGTTAAACCATGGCACATTTTAGATGTTGTTTTCAGGTAAGACGCCAATAATTGTTCCTGTTCCTTAGAAAATGTTTTTCTATTTCCTATATTTCTGTTGTAAACAAACTTATCATCGGATCATTTTTTGCTTTTTTGACAAGCACAGCCAATAGAGATTTCGATATGCCTGTATCCTTAGCTACACTCCGAATAGAAAGTTTTTGTTTAACAACTGCATCCACGGCTTCACGAATTTCTTCATCAGATTTTCTTATTCGTTTGGCCATAGTTAATCAACTCTGTAAAAAAATTAAAAAAATTACCCCGTGCTTAATATTTTGTAATCTTTATATTTAAATGTTTTTTAAATGAACAAAATTTTGTTAAATTCTGTCAAAAGTAAATTTATCTATGCGTACCTCGTGGATTATTGGGTCGTAATTACCTCAGGCAATTGCTGTCCATTGGGCCTAGGACCTTTAGTAATTAAAAGCCTCATAATTCTCTTAATACATAAATAACTTCACAGAGAGAAATTTATTTAAGTGTGGTATATTGGAATAAATCATTGCTACGCCACTATGTTATTCAAGTGTATCGATGTGTTCTTAGAACTCTTTTATGCATTGGTTTTTCGGGACATACAGTTTACATTTTTAAATGCTGGCTTGTTCCACATCAGTCCATTTTTGTACTTTAAATTGAGTTAGTTTTAATATAATAAATAATTCTTGAGATTTAAGTTTATTATTTATTGAATATTCTACACTAAGTAACTAACCAAGAATGCGTATTTTAAATTCAGCACGATTCTAATTCTTAATTGAAGTAAAATTTTCTTCATTTGAAACCTGGCTCTTAAATTAACATTGTCGTGTTTAATTTTTAAATTAAAAAGCTATAAATAAGCACCAACGTTGTTAATTTCAAAAAGAAATCAACGATTTTTTTAAATATAGATTGTACCATTCTTGGCTCAAAAACAAACCCGAAAATGCTTATTTTTTGCTTAATATGAGCATTAATTTCTCTCTGTGTTATCGAATTCCTTGAACTGGACACTCTAGTTTCCATAAATCGGACGTCCGATTGTTTGTGTCCGATTCATGGAACTCTTAACTTTTAACCTAACATCTATTTTTATTTTTACGATCTTTAATATCAATGAGTTTTACGTACCTTGATTAATGTAGAAGCTACACACATTAAGCCACTACAAGAAAAGTGTAATTATCTACTAAGACAACTAATTTATTCACTTTTCAATTACACGTTAATATTTGCAATACACGCCGTAAATATTTCACTAAACATATCAGCAGCAAATGACTTGACAAGATAACCGAATCTAGTGCTAATAGCGGGCACTAGATGAACTAATACAGAGCAAGTGCAATGAGTTTAATTATGCAGCCAAGTATACACAAATTGCAAGTGTCCTATTCATGGGATGTCCATTTCAAGGGAATCCTCCCCTATTTTGTTGTTAAAACCGAAATAATAAAATTTTGTATTTTCTTTAAAAAT